GGGGGGGGGGGGGGGGGGGGGCTGCTCATATTCATATATTCGTGTTGTGCGTTGTTAATTTCTTTTGAAATCGATTGTTTTTATGGTCTGTGAACACGAATATATGAATATGAGCCCCACCCCAATTATCGAGCTTGCTACGGCACTGCTTCGGGATTTTAGAATACATTGTAATCGTACGAGCATATTAAAACTGCATAAATTGTACATGAAAGTTCTAATTGAAAGATAAAACGACTAATTAGAAATTAGTCCCGATTAAAAATGTTCCAATCTATTTAGAGCAAAGAGTTTTTCTGTTTCACACGCTGCGTTAAATTAATCAGTACATGATCATATTCACATGTTGAGCGATATGAAAAGCTTATAAATGACATCCCATGCAGAAAATTCGATTCATTGTGTTTTCGCACCCATGGTTCAGTATAGGACTCAGGCATTCAAATTATAACATATTATAACAGTACATGCAGTATAGACCGTTTGCACATGACGTCACAGCCGCCATGTTGGTGTTCCAATTAGCCTTTCTCACGCCGCCATTTTTGGGTGGCATTTCAGCCGAAGTCTGCCAGATAAGTCCTCATGACAGCGACTTTTTAAAATGTTCTGGACAAATGATGGTAAATTTGCTTTGTAAATAGTTTATTTTGAAAAATTGCTTTTCACATTGTTTTAATTTGTCTGCATTGGTTAAGGAGAATTGGATGCCACCCAAAAATGGTGGATATTCGTCATCGTGAGAAAGGCTAATTCAAAAGAATTTTAATTAATCTTTTTTGCAAACATGGCCGCTATGGCTTTTGTTGAGTTGATCCCTGGGGAATGAGTGCAATCGGCTCTATATAGTCAAGATTGAATTGTTTCATGGCGCCGCTTATTTATATAGACAAAAATATATCCTTTAGTTTTAAAATATTCGAATGAAATTCGTGGCAAAAGCAATAAAACTGAAATTCATACAGAAATACACTGAAATTCGCCCGAAAATAGACTGAAGCCTCCCACCGGGCCAACGACGTTGTTTCAACGTTGAAATTTGGTAGAAAAAAGGTTGCGACGTCGACAACCTAATATCTACGTTGCTGTGACGTTGTTTTACAAACGTTAGTCCAACAGCAGCCAACAGACGTTGAATTAACGTTCATTCATGGTTAAATGTACGACGTCTATTTGTGAACCAATCTCAACGTTGTTTTAACGTGGATTCAACGTTGAATTATGGTTGACGAGATTGGCAACCTAATTTACAATTTGCATAGTCAACCCTTTTTCAACGTTTATCCAACGTCTGGAAGGTCATTTCCAACGTTGATTCAACGTTGGATAAACGTCATTTTGCCCGCTGGGCTGTTTCGAACGTCGCATTTTGCATATGTCGAATTTAATTCGGTTTGGCGTGGCTTTAAATACTTCATGTAATGTTATTGAAGTTAATGTTATTTGGATACTTCATGTAATGTTATATATTATTGTCATATGTTGCCACTTAGGATAAAGATACTTATTAAATTTTTCATTTCATCAATTTCTCATTATGTTTAGGCCCACCTGTTTAAATCTTTAAATCAAATATTAAGGTCTTTGGTATTTGCCGCATTTTATATTGCAGACAGGCACAGGATATTTATATTTAGATGGTGTCTAAAGACGAGTTCTCATATCTAATCTAAATTCGTCTAGCTAATGTAAACGAATAAATTCGTTAAGTACCTTTAAAAAACAAATTAAACAACATTTTCTTTTAAATGAAGCTTAAGGAAAAACAAACCTGTATTCAATAATAGATATACGTAATGTATCTCAACTGCATCATAGCTACTATAGTCTTATTTTGCACATCACATTTTTTTCGTTATAATTTTTAAATAGTTCTATACATTCTAAAACTTTTTTTTTATTCTTTGAACAATGTCTGTAATTATATTGATAAATTTTCATAACATGCATGTTTAACATGTGCATGCATAGGCGTACCGGGCGGGGGGGGCGGCAGCCCCCCCCAGTTTTTTGGGCAGTCGGGCAATATTCGATCAACAGTCGGGCAATTTTGGCTTGCAATAAAAAAAAAGTGACAAATTCTGTAAATTTTGTCTAAAATTAAGTCAATTTCTTGGCAAATTTTGTGATTGTTCGAAAATTTTGTGTATGTTCCGAAAAATATTGGTTGTCCGGAAAATTTTTTTGACCCCTAAAATGGTACACTGACCGAAATTTTTTTGGCGGAGGGGGGGGGAGGTCGCCAAAAAAATTTTTCCGGGAAAAGTTTTTTGGTACTAGTCGGGCAAAATCCCGAAAAGTCGGGCAATTTTCTTTCCGCCCCCCTAATTTTTTCCTTCCGGTACGCCCATGTGTGCATGTTTAACATGTGCATGTTTAACTTTAACTTAAAATGCATGTTTAACATGTGCATGTTTAACACTAAGTATAGTAATTTATACGTTCAAAAATTACATCTACAAGAAACCCTGCTATATAAATTCTATCGATATTTATTGTGTATGAATTTTGCATTTACATCAATTCACTATATATAAATCTATTCTCGCTTCTTTAAACACTTAACATTTAACTTTGTCATTATTTTTACTGCAGCTATAGATATACAATCCCCATAATGCGTTTGTGAAAAAACTGTAACACATGCAGTGTATATACTATTATAGGCTATATATATGTACTAGCGACGACGTCTCTTCCTCAATCTCCTTTTCAATTTTCTCAACCGATGAGAACGTTTGGACACAAAAGTTGTTCTTCCTGAAGGCTTATGTTTAGAAATTCTCGAAGGATTAGGCACGGGGTGTTTCGACGTAGTTTTCATTGTTGAGACGGTTACAGTTCGTGTGGTTGGCAAGATTCCATTATTCCCGGCCGGCCGTACCGTGTCTGATTCCAACCACAGGCATTTTTTTGGTGATCCAACAGCACACACCATAGGCCGAAGACCACACGAACAATCCGAGTTGTGGCTGCATTCTTGCTCAAATTGGCAATCAATTGACAATCTTACTGGAGCGGGCGCCTAAAAGCAAACGTAGTGAAAATTGGCCTCACTTTATACTAGATATCTCCAGAGATGGAAATTTCTCTTGCTCGACTAACTCTGTCAGTTCCAAAAGGTTGAGCAAGGGCAATTCCTTGTTGGTCAAGCTACGTACAAGACTGAAAACTAACTTTAGTTATACTGGGATATTGCTCCAATAATTCTTATTAAACTGTTCTTCCCAATGGTCCAGTAAGGACCATCCTTTATTATAGTTGTCAAGGTTTACAACAAGAGAAACTTCGACTAAATTATAGTAACTGTATTTATACTGCATGGATATATAGCTCTATCTTTTCTAAACTGTTCTTCATATAAAGGTCTTCTAAGGGGCATCGCTCCAGTTTATAACATGAATAAATTAAGGAAACCTAAACTAAACCGTCCTTTTTTTAGCTGGATATCACAATATTCTAAACTGCTTTCCTCCTATATATGGTCCAGTAAAGTCCTTCCCATGACTTTAATATTTTCATGACCTCATGAATATCAGATATTACATGACAATGCTATTTCTGCAGAGGTATAATCATTGCATGCACGATTTTGCACGATAAATCTTAAAAAGAAATTGTCAAATTTATGCATTTTTACACGTGCAATCCGTTGTATATATACCTACCTGTATTTGCCATATCAATTTTGCTGCTGAACATTTGCATACCAGATGTAGTAAATACACTACAAAAGGGCAGATAAGACAAATGTTGCTTGATTTCATAACCGTTTAACTGGAAAGTCTTCAATTCGGGACCGAGATTCTTAACGGCTGCACCTTATATATATAGCGTCCTTTATATATGGAATATTTATAATATAGTTTTTTCAATTACATATGGTTCCTATAATATAGATATTGAAAGATAATCCTGTTATTTATCAATATAATTTAATTTTTGAAAGATAATTTCTTCATATAGATGTGCATATAGTGATAAATAGAATTCATTAGTATAGGAAATTACACGGTAGGAAATTACAAGCCGATTATGCAATGTTCTTCCCACCAATTTGAAATTAAAACCCTGCTTGCTTCTAATCAGTGTGTAGTTAGCCCCTAATGCAATGTTTTTCAGAGCGTAGTATCACATGCAGCAATAAGCAATTACTCTGCATTCACTTCAATGTCGTCGGAACGTTTTCAATCTGGCGCTTTGTTTTATTGGTTATGAATATATTTAGGGACGCCGGAACTGGGGGGAGGGCAGGAGGGGCAGCTTCCCCCCCCCCCTTGCCTTTTGCTAGGAGGGGCAAGGGGGGCAGAAGTGCCCTTTCAGTTATAAAATACTACCTGATAAATCACATTTCCAGTGATGCTTTTTGATCAAAATCATGAGGTGTGATCTTGAATGTGACCTGATTAAGTGCGTTTGCTTTCATTGGCAAGTCAACACATAATTGTAGGTTTATATCTTCACCGGAGTCTATAGAGGTGCCCTTTGGTGTGCGTTTGCCCCCCTTGCCTTTTTATCGTTCCGGCGTCCCTGATTATATATTAGCTGACCATAAATAATGCATAAACATATGAAAATGCTAAATTATGTATATGAAAATTTATATATGAAAATCTATATATGAAAATGCAATATGCCTGTTCACAACGTTTACTAGACACATGCATGCAATTAGGATTTATAGGACACTATTGTATAAAAATGGCGGCTGTGTAACGAAAAAGAAACATGGCAAATTAGGATAAAATAATTGCAGGAGAAAACCTTTGCATTAAAACAATTTATTAATTATTGTTAATTAAACATGTTATGGATTATGTGTGATAAAAATTATTAAACGTAGTCATAAAGCCTGAAAAGTCTATATTATATTGATATAATCGGTTTAATTAAAGGGACATGGCAATATAAATTAAGTTTGTCTTATTTGAAAGAACATTTAAAATTATATATAAACTTCGGGTACAATTATTCCGAATCTTGCTTGGTTTTCGAAATAAATCGACTTATCTTGATCAAAAGCAGCGTACATTCCGCCATCTTGGATATGCATTCGATATGCTACGTCACAAGTAGGGTAAAAACTAAAAAGCGAAATTTTTTTCTTTCACACCACATGTCATTATCAATATGAAACTCGATTTTCCGAAGTCTTCTTATTACTCTATTGACTCCCAACATTATAAGAAACTTTTCGAATAAATTTTGTCCCGCTGGAAGAAGTTTTAACAAGTTTACCCTGTTTGTGACGTCTCAAAAACTCAGTTATAATTAGGTCAACTATAATACCAAGATGGCGGACTGCACACTGTTTTTGGTGAAAATATTTCAAAAACCAAGCAAGGTACGAAAAAGTTGTAAACGGTCTTCATATAGCTTTAAAAGTTCTTTCAAATAAGACAAAGTTAATTTTTATTGCCTTTTCCCTTTAAGGGGCCGATTACATGGGCGAGTTGTCCCGGCTGAGCGAGTTGGCTCGCTTTGCCGAGTTGACCCCGACCCGCTTCCTATATTACATGCAAAGCGAGTTGCCCGCCTAGCCGGGACCGCGGCTGTAGCTTGCCGAGTCAACTCGCTTAGCCGGGACAGAAATTGCCCACACATCCCATGTAATCGCTTTTTGCCGAGTTGGCTCGGCAAAGCGGGCTGAAAACCACACTTATGCATGTTTTAATTTCGATTTTATGTACAAATATAAGCTAAAAAAACTTCAAATAACATCAAAATGATATTAATGTCTATAATGAACGTTTTCAAGGTTTAGATAGGAAGCGACACAATTTTGTTAGAATACAAACAGTATAAGCCTGTTGAGAGTGTAAATACCTCAACCAAGAACATTCAGTGGGTAAAGTAGTCCTCAAATACAACAAATACACCATTTTTAATAGATTTCTAACACCAAGTATTAAATTGTTAAGCATTACAAATCTTAATGAGCTACTTCAGCCCGGCTATAGCCGGGTTAGCGCGGTGCATGTAATCGCAATTCAAAAGTCAACTCGCTAAGCCGGGACAACTCGGCAAAGCGGGACAACTCGGCCCATGCATGTAATCAGCCCCTAAGAAGAATGAATTCATTTTGATATCACTATAGAGATGATTCATTTAGCGAAAATAAACGTGTTATGGTTCTTATTTATACCTTCTGCCCAATTCTTGTTTTTATGTTGTTTTAATATTTTGGACGAATTCGTACATAAAAAGATAAAAGGAGCATTGTATAAGTAGTACCCCCAAAATGACGGAAAAGTCGGCCGTGTCCAGTGCGAACGAACAGCAAGATATGGGTACACCAAGTTTTAATATTTTTAGCTGTTTAGGTACAGCTGTGACATAGTAGCTCTTTTTTGTTTTAGCAATTCCCAGATCGATTAATATACATGATTCATAATGTATACGTTTTACCCTATATAAGATAATTTATTCCCATTAGACTTTCGTGCTTACATGGATCGTGCTTCGATTATTGCTTGTGAAAACGTGATTAAAATAGCAGACGCGTCAATTTTGCCGAGGAATTTTAATAATAGATTTTGTTTATTTTTAAATAAAGGAAATTTATTAATTCAATTACATAATTTATCAATTTATAATAGAGGTCTAAACTAAATATAGAAGTATAATATACGGCAGATGTCTTTATAAAATTTAATATCGAATATATAAAAAGGCACATTCAATTGAAAGTCTTCTCGCCTTTGGCATTTTTATCGTTGTCCTCAAAATATACTCACTCAAACCAAGAATGTCGTTGAAAACCGTTGCTTTCGTTCTTTTGTTCGTTGTTTTCACATTTGGAAACAAGGTAAGTTGGTTTTTCGTTAGTTCCTATTTCTTTCTGATTTCTTCATTTTCCAGTATAATTGTTTTCCATGCATGCATGCTGTCAAGTTCTGTATAATAGAGTTAATATGCGCACTGAGGGGCCAATGATTCTACAGGCAAACTTCTGTATTTGATTTACTGAACTGAACTGAGATGAGATTTGGGTTGAGTTGAAATTTTCAATTAAGAGATCATTTCGTTTTATGAAATCGTATTGTTGGCACAATGGTCTAGCTTGCAGAGTTTAAAACTGATAGAGATATCCAGTTAGTTTAGGTTAGGTTCCTTCCTGGACAACACTGGAAGAAACCATTTAGAACTGTTAGAACCAAATTCAAGTTTCCTCCTATATTGTAACACTGAGCATTCAGCCAAAAGATGACCATTTCCCATGGACTCTGAGAAAAAAATAATAGAGCTATATATCCAGAGCATTCACGGTGGAAGTTGGATATTGAATATTGGGTTTTGAAGTTGTGTGAATATATGAATAATAGAGATCCGACCTTACGATTTTAGGACGGCAACGGCTACCAATACAATAAATCATTGAAAAGAATTGAATGTTTACAACACCTCGCTCTGTTTACAACGCCAAATCACAGATTTTCACGTCTTGATACAACGGTTGCATTTCAAGCCGCAACAAGTGCAAATTCAAACTGGGTTCAGCAGAACTCTTCCCAAACATAAAACCCATGTCTACAACTTCTAAGCCTGTATTAAATTCATATGATTGATAATAGATGAATTATCTTTACTACCCTTTATTTGAAGGAGTTTGCTTTGGCCGTCGTCGTCGCGTTGCCGTCCTAAAATCGTAAGGTCTCTATTGATTGTATAGAAATACGAGTACTAAGGAATGTTAAATATTTAAGGGAAAATATTCTCTTTCCACCCCCAATCCAGCTTTAGTTTTATAGGTGAGGTTTTTTATCTTCTGCTATCCTCAAATGCTAAACATCCTTTTTCCAGAAAAAGTTTGCCGTCTTCGCGGAAACGCCGTTGTGTCCTTATCATCAGACCTGTACGACAGACGATGAGTGCGAATGCGAGATAGAAAGTTTGGTGTGTACAAAAGTAAACGGAAGAGGCCATCGATGCATGCCTGGTGTATGACCCAACGCTTCCAGGAAATTGAAATATCTGATGACGAAGGTTGCATTGAAACCACAGGGAAGATAACGCATTGTATATTAAAGAACACTTCAAGTATAATATTATATTAATGTACTACATGCATTTTCGATTAGTTTTAATAAAAGAATTATATAACAGAAACATTTTGATTTGAACAGTCTTTTCCCATTGCCAGATTCAATTCTGCTCATAAACTAAAATACCAGGCGCATTTGCCAAATTTGTACATTAATTTCTCAACGACAGTGTATATATGCGACCTCGTTTTGATTGAAATATGCATGTAACACATAATCATGATTTAAATCTATATCCGCCACTACTATTTACCCCACTCCACAGTTTCTCCCACTTCTTAGTTCCCCCCACACCCACTTTACAGTTTCCCCAGCCCCAACGACTCCATTCATTAATCCCGCATTCTCCTACCGTTCCGCGCCCTCTGTTCCGCGCCATTAATCCTCACCTGGGCTTATTGGATTGGTCGATTTCTGATCGTCTTTCATCGTTGAGCTTCGGGTTTCCGAACGTCGACCGAGTTCCGGAGACGTCCGAGTTTCAGATTTGCTTTCTTCTCGTGGAAAGAAGATGGTGGAGAAGTTTTGTGAATCGAATACATATGGTTTATCATAGTCAATCCTACCTTAATTTGAAGGTAATATGCTGTATTTAATATCAGTATTTGTAGTAGAATACTTAAATTGCTAATAGAGGTGAATTTTTGAGAGATCGAGCTAGAATTTAGTGCGATATTTCGGCTTAAAGTTTGTACTTTGCGAGCTGTTCTTCGCGATTCTTCTATAATTATGTATATATCAAATTGCTTTAATCTTTACTAATAAATATCCTTGTAAAACCGATAAAGCTAGAATATTAAAATGTTCATTTGGGGGTATTTTGAGCCACGCAGACTACACCTTTTGCAGCAAAAATGACGCATACCAGTTTTCTGCGTTAACCAATCGTTAACTAGACAATTTTTTTCTCAAACAAAAATATGTACATCCAATGCAACTGCCAGCTTTCAGGGAAGGGTCATATATACGTTTATGCCAAAACGACATGTACGTTCTTTATAGTTTATATATAATATTTCAGGAAAGAGAAATCATGCCTATAAACTTCCCTCCCTCCCAAGCATCATATTGATGTTTTTGGCAGAAACATGTATCTGACCCTCACCTTTATATTTTACCCTGTACCTAATAATAATAATAAAATCTTTATTTAAACTGATAAAAAAGACCATTCAGTCAATCACATAGATAGGCTTGTGATCTGAATCGGTGGTCAGTGTAAAAACTACCACATTCTCACATATTTTTTTTTAATTTGACAGATGTTGTGCATTCGATTACTTTGTTGATTATGAAAAGTGAATTCATTTCAGAAACATAAATGAAAGGTATACAATTTTTCATATGTAATTTGGCCCCTCCGTATCATTAAAGATCTGTAAAGTTTGTAAATATGTAAAAAACGCTTTGTTTACATTTTGAACTCAGTGCTACAGTTCTAAAATATGATTAGATATATATTATACTGAATTTTTAACACTCTTCTGGTTTGCTATGCTTGTAAATGAACAGACTGTAGATTCAATTCAAGAAAGTTTGAACGGTTCAAAATATTAATAACATTCCAATGGTCCGGTCTCGACCATTGGAATGTAGGCCTGTGCAGAGCGTATGTGCAGAATGGACTTTACGGCATCTTTAAAGTGTATTAGCAACAAAAATCTCTTATATAATAAAAGTTTCTTTCATTTGAAAAAACTTGTCAAATGGTAATGGAGCATATATTACAAATCTTTCCGTATCTTTCTTTTGTTTCTGAGATATTTCAATGTGTTTGATATGCAAATAATTATGATGTCACAAGCTCAGGGTAGAGAATTTTAAAACATTAAAATATCAGATGCTTGTGATGTTACTCTGAGTGTATATCCACACCGGGCAAGCTTGAAAGTATGCCTGACCACGGTGGGAATCGAACCTAACCTACGACCCAACGACCTAAAAACCAACACAGAAAAATCATTAAAATATCAGATAAATCCAGTTCATTGCTCAGCATGCCATGTTAGTGTCATGAAGAGTTGTCATATACACAATGTCAAGTAAATATTAGAAACAATTTGCAGAATGTAGCTGATATTTAATGTTTTAAAATTTTGTACCCAGCTAATGTGATGTCATAAATTGCATATCAAACACATTGAAATATTTCAATAACGAAGAAAGATATGACAGATTTGTACCATTTCACAAGCTCTTTCGAAATATTACTATTTAGTATTTAGAATTTTTTTATGCTCATACCCATTAAAGGTTATGAGCATCATGTTCCGTTTTTTTTAATCAAGGCCATGCAGCAAAGGTTGCATGATTTATAAAACTTTTAATTGAAAAAGTGATGAATCTTTTCAAAATTACTTCTGTGCATGCCCACATTGCATCAAAACCCATCATTTAAAATGTTGACTGCTGTTCCATTAATTTTGTGTCTCAATACTTTTTTCAATTCTCCTAGATATATGTTGGATGGATGTTGGCTGAAGTTGTATGGATCATGAAAGTATATGAAAGGTCTTTACATTTTAATATCTTGTTTAAGTATGAAATGCTTTGAACATTGTATGTTTGCCCGTGGTCAGTGGCTTTGTTTATTGTTATATTTTTTCTAAATCCTGGCAGATTTATTGCAAAAATATTATTACTATCTTTATAGTCAAATTGACACAAAAGACAACAAACATAATAGAAACATAAAAAATATTTTCTGTCACTCTTTCAGCCAGTATAAGTTTGGAAATTGCAGTTTCATTGTTGCTGGATTGGTTGATTAAGTTTTGTGTTGCCACTCATCACAGAATGCCTCAAATTTTCAAAGCATTTCTGTTTCAGGAAAAGCCAAAAAATGATGAATTGTTTGTGTTTTAAAAAGTTAAGATATTGCCTATAAAATATGAATCAGTATGGAATATATTTCTGTTTCCTGTTTGGATCAACAGTTCATAAAACACAAGAAAAGATCTATCTGAGATACAATGTTTTTACATATATAAATTTAGAAAGATTTTGTTTATATTGCAATTTATTGCAAGAAGTAAAACAATTTGTCATTATTTGGCCTTATAACGTCAATTGAACAATGAGAAAATTGAGATGGTTTTATTTGAAAACAAAAATTTTCCTTTAGGTATAAGGCATGTGGTTTCACATTATTAATTTGGTCATTAAATCCAGGAATCAGTGTTTTTGTTAAGTCATGTGAAATATGAGTGCCAGCATTCGTCCCTTGATAAAAAATTGTCTGGCATTAGACAGAGTAAAATAACAAAATAGAGTGCATTAGAGTTTATTGATGCCACCTAAAGTTTGAGCATTGATGAAAAGAACAATGATCAACAGTTGTCTTCACACTTAATTTAAATTGGAGCTTGTTGTTTGGAAAGCATTTAGATGTTTTCATTTCTCATTTTGATTATTTCATTTTCCCATTTTGATTATTTCATTTCCCATCTCAGTTTTCTCTTGTTTAAAAATAGACTTTCAGTGTTTGTTGAAAGTTTGGAAAGTTTATCTGAAAGTCACACTGTTTCTTTCAAAGTTGATTCTAGATGTTACTTCAGTCTTCAAATAAAATATTAGAAAAAGGAATTTGAGATCAATTGCAGTGTGCAACACCTGTAAAATTAGCACTGTTTGAACTGCCTTGTTGTTGAATCAAGTCCTGTTTTATTTGACCCAGCACACTCTTAATATATGAGTTAGATTATTCCTGGATAAAAGTAAACTGGATTTGTTGAGGAACAAGGCAGTTGTATACAGTGTTGACTTATTAGAGGGTTGTAGTCTTCAATTGTTTTTTTATCCTTGTGGTTTCAATAACAAATTTGAACTTTAAAACAAGCTTTGTGATTTTAAATTATAACTTTCTCAACCTTAAATCAAACATTTAAGGTCAAAATAAGCTAGAATATTGCCTTCATTACAAAGTGGAACTTGTTTGAATACAGAAGAACTTAAAGCGGTGGAACTATAATTTTGGGGTAACTGCAAAATCGTAAAAATTAGAAGAAAATTGTTGTCACACATAGCCAAGAAAACCACAACCAGACAACAGGTTCATGTTCTTTGGAATATATTTTGCATTATAACAAAGAGAAAGAAACAATGAAAAGTATTAAAAAATATATATGGTTGTTTGGTGAAGTATGTTATGTACTGTATATATTTGCAGAATTTTAGTACTGTCAGCCATTACAGTTTCAATAATTCTTCAACAAACTAAGTTCATACTAATGCAAAAAATAGGGATGAACAGGCAATAAAGAAATTTGTATAATTGGAAAGTACATTCTCTATTTCAATGATTGTTCCAAAAAGCTAAGTTGTATTGATACTGAAAATAATATCAGTGAATTAGGTGTGCAAAGCTAATCCTTTCATAATTTGATCAAACGTGACTCAAAATTGAAACATCTGGATGAGATTGTGTTCATTCTATAGTTTCTGAGTGTAGTATTTTTATTACAAAGTCTGAACCATACTTCAACAACAATTATTTCTAATATTTCTTTAATTTAAGTTATTTTGGTCTTTGAAATTACAAAATATTATTTGCAGTATTTTGGTTGACTTTTTGTGGTTAATTCTTGTTTTTCATTTGAAACTAATTTGTATGTTCATTTCTTTGGCTTCAGTTCAACTTTCAAATAGTTCCACTTTGTAACAGTATGTTATAATAGTAATAATAATATAAGAAAACAGGTTTACATGGCTTTTGGACATGGTCTTCTCAACAATAGTAGGTAAGTTTATACTTCAAAGAGATTTTTTAACCTGACAACAAACTATCCAAAATTAACTAAAATGCAGTCTTTATGACATTTCTCTATGAATAAATATTTCATATTTTGATAGTTATGTTTGGTTTGTTTTAATGTTAATACTACCGTACATGTAGATGAAAGTGCGATATAATACTTTATTTGTTAAGAGAGATTCTTATGATTGTGTGGGAATTGCCTTCTTTAGATCCGAAATACTGTATATTTAGTGGTCAAAAATGCCATTGTGAGGACTTTAAGAAAATCTGTGGGTGAAACGTTTGTGATTTGGCCATCATGAAGAAAAATTTGAAAAACTTATAATCAAAAGATTGTATCAAGATTTCACACATTTTCTTGCTTGTTTGCATCAAAAATATTTCTTCAAGTTTCTTCTACATAAGTTTGTTTACATTTTTGCTAAAAAAATAGATCCAAATTTGTAAAACAAACCAGTTACAGTACTTTTTTTCTAAGTGATATTTCAGAGTGGTTTGTTGAAGTTACAAGGTGGCAAGAAACGTTGTACCATTTTGTGTTTGGTTTTCTTAAGCAAAACAAGTTCAAACGTGATTTTCGTTCAAAAAATGAATTAGTGATATTTGTAGGCTGTATCAAATAAATAAAAAATTAAAACATTGAATATTTTGTTGAACTGCATTCTCATCACCTGAAATAGTATTAACATTATATGGTAATAAATTATGAGTTGTCAGGTTAAAAACGACACTAAAAGATATATGGCTTCAAAAGATTGGGATAATTTCAATTTTGTTTTATTTGGCATTTGAAACTCACTTTTCAACTGAGTATGGAACCAATGATTTGGTCGTACAGTTTCCACGTTCTTGAAAATATTATTTCAGAGTCAGTTTTCATGAAGTACTTATCCTATCAATCATTGACAAAACGTTATGCACTTTCAAAATTACAGACACTTCAACAAAATTACTTTATAAAAGAAGGAAAAGCATTCACTTTTAATTATTATGTCTTTGAGCCATATATTTTCCTTGTAATATTGAAACACCTCCGTGTCATGCTTTGAATATCTCCATGATACTCAAAACATATTGTCAGTTGTTTCACAATTATTTAGTTTGAAGTATAAACATTCATCTTGAAAAGACCAAGTTCTCTTGTTTCCTCAAGAATTAACTTTTCAATGTTAATTCATGGATGGGTAAACATGTTTAATTAATGTTGTGTTTATTCACTTGTGTTTATTCACTTGTGTTTATTCACTTGTGTTGAACATAATGTTAATTGTTCTCCTTGTGCCATGTTCTGTTTTCTTCTATTGTTATTTAAATAAGTACAGTATGCAGTGGTTGTTCTCTTTTTATTGTTATTCAAATTGTAATATTTACAAGTTCTTTTCAATAAATTGTCATTAATTATACAAGAGAGTCCTTTTTAATTAAAAATTCAATTCCCATGGGAATTGAAAAAAAAAATAAAAAAAATCTCCCTACCCCGGCCGGCTCCCCAAGTGCTACCTCTACTTCAAGCAAAAGTACTTCATAGTAAAAGTACTTCTACTTAAAGTAGAGGTAGCACTCGGAGAGCCAGCCGGGGTAGCGGGGCGAAGAGAAGATCAACCTTGCAAATGCTAATGCAAATTGCTAAGTTGATCTTCTCTTGAGAGCAGCCACGCGCATACCTAGCAAATCTAAAACAACAAGCATTAGTAACAAATACTCGACATGCAAATTTTGAATCCCATGGCCGAAATGACAAGTGCCCCCACTGATTCCTACCAACTGCCTACCTGCCTCAGTCCTAAGCTGTCTGCCTCAGTCCTAAGCTGTCTGCCTCGGTCCTAAGCTACCTGCATTCCATTCGTAACTTCCGCTTTCCTCACCATCACACAGACACTCACAACTGCCCAACCTGCCACCAGCCCAAACTGCCCACCCTTAAAACTGAAGGAATTAAAATTTTGGTAAAGTAGACATAATTAATTTAATTAATCGGATATTTTAGGCCAAACGTAAACAGATAAATTAAAGGTTGACGATCAGAAGACCTCGTGTACAAACAGGTGAGTTTCTTACTTGCCTCTACATGAAATTTGCATAGAAATATATACGAGACCTCGAAATCCGGATTTTTGCTTCTATATGCTTTAGTAGCAGACTATAAGTGTAGTTAAATTTTGCTGATGTTAGGAAATTAGTCCTTTTGTTCAGAAAAGATATTTCGTCTTTAAATATGCTCTCAAAATTTTAATTCCTTTAGTTTAACCTAACCCCATGCATCCTATACACACGGCGCACACTCTCGCACTCCATACATTTAGCTAATAAATTACGTTATAAACAAAAAAGCAAAATAAAAAGATAAATTACGTTATCACTAGCTGTCCTATAACCCACTTAGACTGAGTTTTGGATTCTGGTTCGAAATGTAAAACCTTAACTGAAAGGGCATGGGCTTGAGTTTTGTTAACTGGTCCGAAGTAAATACAAACCTTAAACTTACCTAAACCAAAGGCTCGATTAAATAAGCATGAGAATGCATAGAATTATTTTTAAAACCTTTTCATAAGAGTTGAAACTCGAAACGAAAATTACAATGTCGCTAATTTAGTGAGCATATAGTACTGTTTAGCTATATAGTTCAAACAGGATCGAAACAGACTTAACCGCAATTCTCATACTCATTTAACCGCCTTGATGATCATTTGCATGGCACGTTGCAGCTGCTCTCATACCACTTCCGTAATTTGCTTTAGCGCGCACAAACAAGATACTTATCATATTTAATCAAAGAGGATTCATTCATTATAAAGTCAAATTTCCACTATGAAATCAACATCAACATGAAAACAAAGCATATATATTCCCCTGGGAATTAAAAATGCGAGAAAAAAAATGGCAAGATACCTTTACGCTTGCGCAAAACAAAAAAATTGGCATAAAAACAAAGTACAATATATTCCCATGGGAATTAAACACACAAAAAGTAAATCCACCAATTGTTAACTTTTTAACGCTTGAAGTAGGGTTGCTTGTTTTCATCGTATGTTGATTTCATTGTGAATACAAGACTTATCCCATAGTTAGCAGAATATAAACATGGATAGGGACCGCATCTTGCAGTGATTTTATTATCAATACCAACTGACGAAACTGATGAAAAAGAGGAAGTGCTTGGTGCTAGATTCCAAGCCATGTTTATTTTACATAACTATTATGGGTGACGCGGTTAATATTTTGTTTTCAGAAAATAGTACAATCGGAAATATTCCAGGCAAGATTTAGTGCTTTTAAGGTATTGTTTGCTTCGATCTTTTTTATGCAAACAGTTCTCTACTATCAATTTTGGAAACGTTTTGTTGTTTTAACAAGAATTTTGAAATTTACAATACAGACTCTAGCTCCCTCGCAAAAGCACTGCGTTATAGCGTTTTTGAAAGAAAGTTTTACCCAAACGTTCTACCTGATTTTGAGAACAATTATTTCTATACTCCGTAAATTGGAAAACAAAGTCGAAAAATTTGGCAAATTCGTAGCATGCTTATTTAGAATGAGAAAATCATTGTATTCACTTAAATCCCCTTTGATCTTTAAATAAGTATTTTGTCTTTAACTAACTTACATTGGTAAAATGTTTCGTTACTTTCATATTAGCAATGTTGTTGTTTCTGATTGTTGCGAATCGTCATTCTTTTCTTGGCTCCATGCCATTCGTGAGTGGTTCTTTTTGGTCTTTTCATCATCTCTTTTCATCACATAAACATTTCATCACTTCACCTTTTGAAATTAAAAAAGTACCATGAGTCCATGAAATAGGATCGAATCATGTTAAGGGGTTGATTGATATTTGGTAGAAAAGAGACTTTAAAATGTCTATATAAATTGCCAGGATTTTCTGTCAGATATCCAGTCCTCACAATTTTACCAAATTATCGTAGACAAAAAATTGCCGTCAATATTTTAGGCTTCGGCGCCAATTCAACGGCATTTATTATCCCATAATCATATCAATTTTGAAATGCGTAGTATTTCATGTTTCAAATAACATTTAATATTATTGATGTATATAATTAATAATGTCGATGATAGCCTAGACCATGGATTGTAAAATTGTATTTTATTATCCATGCCTAGACTTAGGCCCTTTACTCGGCAGGTTTTGGTCAATTTTGGGCTAGCATTTGGTAAGTGTGACGTCACATGCTACTGCCAATCCTCGCCTCACCACCAAAGCGCCGAAACTAAAAGTAGAAGGTCAAGGTCCAGGCTGACAGTGTTTCATGTTTTCATCTGACGTTACGGCAACCACACCATGTCGGAGGGTATAATATCCAGTGACGGGGGAGGGGGGGGGGGGGGGACGAATTTGTGTATGTTGCCATCATGCAGTCCGCTATTACTTCTTGTTGGAACAACACAAAGGTAGGAATTTTGTCAACACACGCGTCAAAATTGACGCGGTGAACAGATAAGAGACTCGGGGCGGGTAAATATTACATTTGATTTTTGAGCATTTTATTTGTTTTTTGGCCTAGTTTTGCTACTGGAAAAATATTGTTATTTAATGCTTCGTTGGGAAGGAAGGGAAACGTTTCCAACGGAAAATCGCGAATTTTCCTATCAAAAATACTTCGACAAGTGAACGAAGAAAGGTCCAGTACATTTTTGCGAAACAAGTTTACATTTTTGCGAATCTGCTGTTCACCAGAAACGGCCAGAAAAAACTCAAAAACGTTTAAAAGAACTTTTCGAATGCGCCAAAACTTATTGACCAGCGCGGACAAAATTCCTACCTGGTGAAAGAACGCGAAATAATTAATGATCGTGCATGATATATCGAAACAACGTTTTGGAATTATAGTTGTTGGTATAGGTATAGGTATTTGTACGGTTTCGAGTACAATTTGAAAAAAAATACAGGAGTGAGTTTCAAAGACGATCAAAATTGCACGAGTCTGAAGTACGAGAGCAATTTGAAGTTTTTGAAAAACTCGCGAGTGTATGTTTTTCAATGCAATCCTACAAAGGACTAGTTATATTAGGATTGAAAAAGCGAGAAATTCCGGCATTCATGTATTTCAAAAGTTTTATAACATCACTTACATATATACTAATCACTTTCGCATTTTCGTAATTGTTTTGTTGATCAGGCATGTCGACGTTCTGTTGATGGATCCATGGTTGGTTGGTTGGTTAATCTAGTTATCTTCACTTCGCCTTTGTCTTCTCTCCGTACAAGCTCGTAGGATGTGGTTTGATGTAAAATTTCTTTTCCCTGAAGGATAAATAAACATTTTTTGAAAATGTTATTTTCTCAAAAAAATTTGAAATATTTTTTTTTCCGTTTTTTAATGAGAAACGATTAAAAATTCCTTGACTCATTTTTGATTTTCTCTTACCTTGATAAAAGTTGTGTTACTCTCATCTTGGCGATGTTGTAGGATCTGTTGGTTGTAGGTCTTCATCTGAAATGAAAGGATATTTCCCGTCAGTAACAAAATAAATTGAATATTTCACTACACATGTTATAGAAAGAT